CTCGATATCTCTCATACTGACCTGCTCTCTGCTACCCTTAAATCCAAAACGAATGATTATGGTCATGAACAAATACCTGTTAAAGTTATCAAACTCTGCCTTCCAGCTTTACTACCCGCACTTCTACACATATATAATTTCTCTCTCCAAAATTCCATTTTTCCCAAATCCTGGAAAAGATCCATAGTCCGTCCACTGAACAAAGTTCCAACTCCTTCATCAGCTTTCGACTTCAGACCCATCTCCATTCTATCCAATCTAACCAGGCCTCTATAAAAATTATCACTCTCGGTTGAACAACTTTCTCGAGTAAAACCATCTCCTAAATCCCTTACAATCTGGTTTCCGTTCCCAGTATTCCACCCAGTCTGCCTTGCTAAGGATTACCCAAGACCTCCAATCCGCCATAAATAAACAGAAAATCTCCACCCTAATTCTTTCTAACTTTTCCAAGGCGTTTGATTCCGTAATCATGAGATCCTTCTTTCCAAACTCCAAAGCCTACCCATATCAAATAGCGTCCTAAAATGATTCCTATCCTTCTTATCCAATCGATCCCAGACTTCTTATTCAACACTCCAGTTACCACCTATATGCCGATGGTTTCCAAATATACCAATCATTCCAACCTTCTGAGATGCCTGAGGCAGCCCGGAGGCTACAATAGAACATCGACTGCATCAACAGATCGGCAGAAATAAATGAATTTAAGATGAATGCAGAAAAAACCAAGGCTATTATCATTCGGTCCAGACATCTCATCAGCTCCCTTCCTTACTTTCCTCTACATAACCTCAATAACCATCCCATCCATTTTTTCCCTACAGTCAAAAACCTAGGAGTAACCTTTGACCAGAACCTCTCCTGGAATAACCATATCTCCCAGATTACCCGAAAATCCATAACTGCCCTTAAACAACTCCTAAGATTCCGTGATTGTATTCCTCTAAAAACCAGACAGCTCCTTGTAACCTCCCTTGTATTCCCCACTTCGACTACGGCTGATTGGTGTATGGAGGGCTATCTGCCAGGCTGGAAATGAGACTAAAGAGACTCATGAATTGTTTCATAAGATACATTTTCGGGATCCCCAGGCGTTCACATGTTTCACTCTGGTACACCGAGTTGAAGTGGCTTTATCCTACTTCCCGACGACAATTCCTCCTTGGTGTTTTCCTTTTCCAAGTCTTCAGAACCAAAAACCCTCCCTACATCCTGGAACTCCTTACTCTGCGCTCCTCTATCCACTCTCTCAATACTAGGTCTCAACCTATAGACTTATATATTCCCTCCCATAAAACTTCCTCCTTCAGCAAATCCTTCGTCATTCGTGCTGCTTCCTTATGGAACTCACTTCCTACCTCCATGCGTCAATCCTCGTCCACAAATTCCTTCAAACAACTCCTGTTCCAACACCTACTCCACATTCAAACTTCCCCTAACATGTAAAATTACTTGCATCTATACAATGTTTAATTTCAATCCATTGCACAATTGAAATAACAATTAACAGTAAATTAGTTGGTATTTTTACTATGTCAGACTAAGATATATAAATTTGTAACTCTGTTATTATTCTTAGGTGACAGTAGTCCCAGAATAAAATTATTTTTTCATTCATTTCATTTTCATTTCACACATATATAACACAGCAATTCCTGGAATGTAGACAAAAAGATAAGACGATTATAGACCAATTTAAAATTTGATAAACAATTAATACAAGACATCATTTTTACAATTGAGGTCTTCTTAAACGACCTACATATAGAATAAAGGAAGTTAAATTAAAAAAAAAATAATAATAAATATTTAAAAAAATTTTAGGTTTTTTTGACAATAAAATTATTGCATTAATATTTGTTCGTTAATAAAACCAATATAATGTACCAAAAACGTTAATATATCACTATAAATAAGCCATTTATGTGTACTGAATGGTGTGGTAGAGGCCTGTAGGAACCCACGCCAGTACCGCTTTTATGCCGCATAAGTGCATTTTCTACAGAACTGATTAAAAGTTTTAAAAAATAATCAGCGTTTTGGAAAGATAAATATATTCTCCTGATGTTTTATTTCAGCACGTTTTGCGTTATGTAGGCCGTTTAATTACAAACGACGCTTGATTTTTAACCTGAATTTTTTTTTTTTTTAATTCAGTGTACTGGTGTTTTTCGTAGCCTAAGCCAATTATTTTTTAGTATTTCTTCATGTTTTATTATTATATAACTATTCAGCTTTAATAAAAGACCAACTATGAGGAAATTAAGCCAAATGCTGATTCTCAGTGACCAAAAAACTAACTAAAGTCAAGTTCGTCAATCCGCCATGTTAGGACGCCATTTTGAGGCAGTGCGTTCACTTTTTTTGTGGGAATATTGGCTTTTTTTTAATAAATAGTTACAGGGAACACAACGATATGCAATTTATAAAGATGTGGGAGGGGAGGGGGGGGGGGGTTGCACGGTAAGGGGGTCTGAGATCTTTTATAGTATATGTATATATATTGGAGTTCTGGCAATGGATTCTCCACTCAAGGCATGAATGTATGTGGCTAAAGAGCTCTCGCTCAAACTACACTGCCTTCATCACCAGTGAGTTGGTTAAGAGAGTAGCGCAGTTAGAGCTGCTTTTCCTTCTATAGTGGAGGGAGAAGCCTATCTTTGAGTTCCTTGCCTGATTGTATATATTGTATATAGGTATGACTGTGTTTTTATGTTTTTAATTTACTTATCTTTAGGTTATTTTATTTTTTATTGTACATAGTTTTTTTTATTATTATTTAGTTATTATTTTATTTTATTATTATTTATTTATTTTGTTAATTTTACATTTTCTGTATATATGGTGAGAATGTGTTCATTTATCACTATAATCATTGTCCATGAGTCAGAATATTATATGTCTAAATAAAGAAAACTAAACTAAAATATAAGATGAATTTAAAATCTATAGAATCTATTGCTTAAAAGCAAATTAAAATATACAATTAATATAATCTGAGTTAAACAATAAAAGATTAATAAATAGGTTAACAAGTAAGAACAAGCTAAAATATACGATTAATAAAATCTCAGTTAAATAGTAATATATTAATAAATAAGCTAATGAATAAAAACATGTTAAATCTATAAAATATATTGTTAAAAATTAAATACACATACCCACTTCCACTGAATAAATGATAAATAAAATTGAATAAATAAATCAATTGGTAAAGCTAAATAATAATTTTTTAAATTAATAATTCATTAATTTTAATAATTAAACTATCCTGTGATCAGCCAATTTTTATTCGAAAGCAAAATCCGTTTTAAACGTATTACAGCAAATATGCATATATCTATATTTTGTTATTTTGTTATATTTGTTATATATATATATATATATATATATATATATATATATATATATATATATATATATATATATATATATATATATATATATATTGTTTTTTTTTTCTTAAATAAGGGAGGAGAGAGAAAATAAAAAAATAATAAAACAAATGATATAATTGATTGACTAAACAACAATATAGGTTGGGCTCCTTCGGTGACAGCTGTTGGTATTGATAAGGCGACACTGACCTAGCTGGATGGAGGCGGTGCTGAGAGGTGGTGGGGGCCGACAAGTCCTATGCTGGAGAGCGATAAGAACCTAGGTCCCATGAGCACTCTGATTCCTTTACCTTCTGGTCCTGCGAAGTTCTTTGCTTGATTTTCTCCAAATTCAAGCAGCAGGTCTCCAACATACAGCTTCGCTTAAGTGTCAATTTTTAGCTCGATTGGGCGAATAAAACCCTATTTTAAGGGAAACCGCCGTGGAGCCGATGTGTTTTTGTCACCGGCTCGAGCCGAACTCCAATTTCGTTTTCTACAGAATGCTGTGAATAGAATCAAAGACTGGTCCCTTTCCATTGGTCTTCAATTTTCCTCCGAAAAACTAACTGCATACATTTTAGTCGAAAAAAAACAACTCTAATTCACCCGAAATCTACCTAATTCCTTCATCCCATACTCGAACCAACGGCATTCTTAGGCAGATCTTTGACCGAAAACTAACCTGGGAACCACATATCTCTGCACTAAAAACATTCACTACAAAAAGATGAACTACACTAAAATATTTGAGCTGTACTTCCTTTGGCTCAAACAGACTAACGCTACTAAAACTTTGGTGTGTTCTAAATTAGACTATGGGTGCTTTGTATACGTTTCTGCCCGCTAACGGACTCTAAATAAACTTGTTGCAGTCCATCATACAGGCATTAAGATCGCGACTGGGGCGTTTCCGACAAGCACCGTCCTCAGTCTGTGTTATGAAGCTGGGGTACCACCTCTTTTATTTCGAAGAAAAAGGCTGGCTGTTAACTATATTTCAAAACTACTTTCCTAAAATAAACATCCTACTTATAACTATATCTTTATACCTAAATTATCCAACACTTTTAGAAACAAACCCAATTCCACACGCCCACTGTTAGAAAGAATTTCTTCAGCAGTTAAATTTCTTAAGAACATACCTTTGCATCATTATATTTTTTCTCAGTCATGGAGTGATTCGTCTTTTTGTAAGCATAGTGCAGGTGGACTGAATTTGTTTTTATTGCCATTGTATCCTTTATATTTAAATGCAAGGTAGTAGGGCTGATGGACAGTCCGCTGCCTGTTATTCGTAAACTGGTGGGGAGGGAGGAGGAGATGAGGACAGGAGTCGAGAGTATCGGCCTAAAATGTAAACCATCCTAGAATGTAAACCAAAATATAAAATGTATATAAGGAGGATTACTTTACAAATAAAAAAATATTGTTTCTGAATCGTGTGTATTGTATCTCAATCCCTTTCCTTTTTTTAAATTAAATTAATCGACTGTAGCATAATTTATATATATATATATATATATATATATATATATATATATATATATATATATATATATATATATATATATATATATATTTATATACATATTGATAGATTTTTAAACTTGTTTTAAGGATTTGAGGAGGCAGTGTCAACAATTCGCAGTAGATCTGCTGTCACAAACACGTAGCTCTCAGGAACTGGCAATCATCCTCAATCATGACCCTGATTCACCTCCTTATGAAGATGGAGAACACATGAAACTGGCTCGTCTGGAATTGGCAATCAAATACAAACAGAAAAAAGTAATGTTAATGCAACCGGTCATACTGATTTATTTAAAATAGAAAAATTTCACATTAGATTAATTATATTAAAATTAATATTATTAGAAACTAGTATCAAATAAAAAAATAAAAAATTGTTATTTCACTTGTTGCTTATGGTAGGAGGATCAAGACCCCATATGGTTAAGTCTTTGTCTGATAAAAATAATCAAATATTTTTATTATAATAATTGAGATAAACCGATTTGTGAAAACAATTTGTTTTGTTGAAAGTTGGAAGTGATGTGTATTGATTTGACAGATCTTTGCGTGCGATCTAATATCTTAATTACTTTTCTGCGATAAGTTTATTTCTTTTATTATAGCAAGTTTTATATTTTTTGAGAAAATAGTAAAAGATATTTGATATTTTAAAAATAAATTGAGATTTTTTTTGTTTTTTAAAGATAAACGGGTGTTGTTTATGAAAAATCTTATGTTTTATGTGATGTTATATTTACTTATTTATTTTCATAAAAAAAGTAGTTATGATTAATTTTATATTTACAGATTGATATACCGCTGTAGGGAGATATTCTGCTAGTATAAGAGTATTGTGACTGCAGCAGTACAGCAGTCGTATTAGACATCCTGAAAGTCCCATATATAATTCACCTTAGTCAATTTAATCTCTGGTTTATAAAAAAAAATGTTTAATTTACGATGGTGTAATTAGAATTTTATTATCTTAAACAGGTGTTAAACAATTACTTCTTATTCAATAAAAAACGTGATTACACAAAAGTGGTGTTAACTCCTTTTTCGTTCGGAATGATGCATCAATAAACTTTTTTGTTGGAAATTTTATCTTTAATCACCCCCTTTCTTTAGAGTTTGGCCATTAAGAACTGAGATACGCTAATATATATATGCTTTTAGAATTAATTAATTAATTACTTTTCTGCAATCAGTTTATTTCTTTTATTATAGCAAGTTTTATGTTTTTTGAGAAAATAGTAAAAGATATTTGATATTTGAAAAATAAATGGAGTAATTTATTTTTATTTTTTTAAGATATATATATATATATATTTATATAAGAAGAAGAAGAAAAGTTAATTTTCTTCTGGGACATTTAGACCCCTCAGAATAACTACAATAGACAACGAAATGCCAATTGTCTAATATATATAATACAATTACAAATTAATTAATTTACAAAGTTATATTATATTTTTTTTTTATTTATTGGCTTATAAGCAGCATAGCCATGGAGTCTGGCCCAATCGATATTAGTTGTAGTTAGTTTGTTAATAACAGGTACAATATAAAACATGAGGACAATATAAGAAAGAAGAAAAATTAATACATTAATATAAAACAAATTTTTCATATCAATATAAACTAAGTTTCACTGTAGATTTACTAATCAAATAAACTTAATTAAAACAGAAAAAAAAATACAAATTTTATAAGAAACAGTGATACATAAACTTAAATTTACTTCTTTAGGTAATAATAATGCAATGTATTTGTTGTCATTTTAAAGGGTAAGAAAATATGGGCTATATGTATATGATATATTGACACACGAACAATCATTAGTTTTAAAGTTACGGGTTATTTAGTAAACTATGTGAGTCAAAAATACGAATAATAAAGTGAAACACATTGTTCAAGTGTTCAAGATTTTTAAAATCTAAAACTTTCTTTAACGATAAGTCATCCGTGCCAGCATTGATATATTTACCGAGATATCTCTTTCTATGAATCTCAACAACGAACATTCAAGGATCAAATGCTTTATGCCATTAGTGATAAGGTGACCGACCGCACCACTTACAAACTTCATCAGCCCTTAAAAAGTGAGCGATATTGCCATGATACAGCGCCAGGCGGTCATTACTCGAAACTCTCAGACGACCTACTGTTTGCAATTTTCGTTAAGGGACAATAAAGTTGAGGTAGTTTTGCGGTTCTGGGTAATTAAAGCAACAGATTCGCCTATAGATGTGACTATATTTGGAATTAAAGGAGCGTTCAATATCTTTAGAATATAAGTTATTAAATACAAATCTCAAAATATTTTTGTAGTTCTTTATTAATATCTTTGGATCCTAGAAATAGTTTAAGTACTCTTGAACGAAATTAGAAGTGACTAACTTTTTTACTTGTGATATCCAGTTGAATTCAAGATTAGGCTGCCTAGTGTCCATAGCCACAAGTTTTTGCAAACACTTTCACAGATGTCGATGGTCTGACAATGATGATATGTTTATGCAAACATTTATAGTTTTCTTTGAAACTGCCATTAAAACGAGCGAAGGACCGGTTTCCAACCGTATTATATAATTAGGTGTTGATTTGGGCCAAAAATATAATTGCTTAAGAAATTTCACCTGAGCTAATTCGATCGATTCAAAATATCTTAAGCCCCAAACTTCAGAAGCATAAAGAAGAGTTGAGGAGACCATTGAATCAAAGAGAGCCATTTTGGTTTCCTATGTATCGCTTTTTCCTCTTATTAAAATCTCACGTACTTTTGCTTCTGCAACATTTGACCTCTGAATAAATTATTCAGCAGCCTTAGAAAATTGTGCCGATGTTGAAAATGGAACTCCTAGGTAGTTATAACATTTTGTAAATCCCAGAGGTTTATTTTGCTAAAGCAATTTTTTCATTATTGGTGACTTATGGAATACCAGAACTTCTGAATTTTCGGGGTTTATGACCAGTGAATTTTGTGTGCAATACCGTTCAAGGATCTTTTGCGTGCTATGCCACGAATTACTTATCATTAACATTAGGACTTCATTTTTTCCATCTATATGTAAACCAGATGCACCGCTTTTTTCAAAGTAAGATATAATGTCTGAGACGAATATAATAAATATAATCGGCCTTAAAGTTTTACCTTGTAATATTCCTGATATTACAATATTAATATCTTCCCACTGATCCCGAAATCCAACCACTTTTTCCAAAGCAGCTCATGGTTAATGGAGTCAAACACTTTCCTAAAATCTAAAAATGTCGCATAAACATAGCTATCCTTCACTTGGAGATTAATATTGATCAGTGACATCAGCGAGAAACTTTGTTCAACGCAGCCTCTTCCTTTTCGAAATCCCGCATGTTATTCTGGAATTAGGTTTTCACTTTCAGTCCAAACTTGAATCCTTTGAGTTAAAATTCTTGTAAATAACTTAGTTATGTTATTTATCGATGAGATTCTGCGGTAGTTCTCTACATCTGTTTTGTCAGTCTTTTGTGCATCAAAATTAAGTTTGATTTTGACCAGGCGCTTGGTAGTTTCTCGGTTTCCATGATATTATTGAAAACATTTAATATGTAATGTTCCCATTCATGGGTTAAATCTTTGAAGACCTCATATATGATGTTGTCCTGACCGGATGACTTCTTGTTTTTACTTAATTTTATTACTAGCTCTAGTTCCTCTAATGAAAACGACGGGTCCAAAAAAGAGTGGGTTACCGGAAAGAAGAGTGCTTCTTGTATCAGTTTTGGTCCATATAATTTTTCATAATGTTCTGCCTATTTATCAATATCTGTTTCACAAGTTTGCATGTTTTTTGGTTTGAGGGAATCGATAACTTTCCAGAATTTAGTACTATTTTTTACATTTTAAAGTCTATATGTAATCAAATTACGGTAGTTGGATTTCTTATTTTCGACGAGTGCTTTGTAATAGTATTTGATTATAAGATAGGCTTTAAGAGAAGATTGTGAATAATTATTTTTGACCATTGTTCTGTATTTTTGACTAAGAATTCTTTTAAATACTTGGCACTCATTTTCGTACCATTTATTTTTAAAAACACGATATGATTTGTTTTTATTTACCATTAGCCCAGAGTTCGTTAAAGATTCATATATCGACGCGAAGAAATTACCGTGCAAATCATCACTATTTTCAGAGTAGAAATATATCCCGCTGGAGTTGTGAAGACAGACTTGAAGGTCCCTAACTCTGTCCGGGTCCCATCTTATATATTCAATTGGCTTATAGATTTTTATAACATGTTAAGGTTGGAAACTAATAGATATAATACACCGAATCATTTCTTTCCCACCTATCCTCCCTCTCTGTTCATGACAATTCCCTTTGGAAAACCACTAAGACAATCCTAAAATCTCACCTCATTTCCCATCCCCACTGGCAAGATGACGGCTCCTAGATACCATCTGAAGAAGATAAAGTCCAGAAGTTCGCCTACCATCTCTCCAATACATTTATTCCCCATCCGGAATCCCATCCTACCTACACTACATCCAATTACAAAAACTAATCGCATGTAAATCTCCTGGATATGATCTCGTTACCCCCCAGATCCTTCGACAACTTCCATCCAAAGCAGTCATACTCCTTACTTATATCTATAATTGCATCCTACGCACTACTCATTTCCCTCTATTATGGAAACATCCTACTATTATCCTATTCCCAAAACCAGGCAAACCTCCTAACAGCTTGACATAATACAGACCTATTAGCCTACTCCATATTCTTTTAAAACAAATCTCTCTCCTACCTCTTATAGAATCCCAAAATATTGCTTCCATCAGTTTGGTTTTCGTTCCCAATATTCTACTGTTTAACATGGACTCCAAGTTGTTGATCATATTTCCTAAGTGTTGATCATATTCCTAGAAAACAAGTAATACTGCTCGGGTGCATTTCTGGACATAGCACAGGTATTTGACCGGGTATGGCACCCCGGATTGCTCTTCAAGCTTAAACTCCATTTAACTTAGTCCTTGTACCTGATCCTCCTATTCTACCTCTCTAACCGCTCCTTTCGAATTCGCTGTGGAACAAAACTTTCAGATATATATCCCATTAAAGCCGGTGTTCCCCAAGGTAGTGTCTTAGGTCCCGTGATTTATATCCTCTTTAACGCTGATATCCCTGTTCATCCCGGTACCTTCCTTGCAACATTCGCTAATCTCTAAATTCGCTAATTTGCAAAGGCGCATCTACTCGATTGAGCACTAGTTTAATAAATGGCGTATTAAAG